GTATGAGGTCTAGATATATACTTATAAGTGTAATGATTGAAAACAGAAATAAGTTGAATGAGTTAAAAATTGGTTTTATGGGAATATTTCATGAAAACATCAATATAGATGTAAGTATGATGCAAATTTGGAAATACATTTCAAGGTGAATGAATGGAATAAAAAAAAAACTCATCGTGACATAGCCTGTATATGCCGGTAATTTTTTTGACATAATAAAGGTTTTTACTATGCTCAATCTGTATTGGCTGATTATGACTCAGCTTCAGAGCCTGATGACTCCTTTGGTCAACCATTGTCGATCTAAATGAAAACCTAGTAGTGACGACTTAACTACCTAACTAGGTTGTCATCTAGAACGACAATGGCTCAACAGCCACTGGTGTACTATCGAGAGTATATAGAGACAGGTTCATTTTTTTGTGAAATTTTCGATAGCACTTGACAGAGTTGAGTTACACAAATTACATTTTCACTGGCTTTGTGGCCAATTAATAAAGTATCCTAGTCTACAGGAAGAGTTGTTGATGACGATTGTCAACGAATCTATGTTTGGAAAATTTATCTGAAGAAGTTGCCGAACAGTTGTATGAATATGCACTTGGACAAGCTCCATCCATATAAGATGCAATCATATCAAGTATCAAGCCATATCGCCGACAGACCACCCCAGATGTTCAGAGTTCTGCCAGTGAATCGTCAATAATTTGATGAATGAAGCATTTTTTGAAAGAAGCTTGGTCCAATATTTTGGTGTATTCTCAATAAGGGCATGTTAATCATTGACAATCCATAAACTTATGTTTGTTAATATATGCCCGCTCCATGTTGACAATCCCTTAGGTATTCATCCACTAAACTTAGTTTTCCTTGATTAACTGAAAAAAAAAAACTTCTATGAACTAGGTTCCTTAGGAGGAAATATAAGATCGAGCTAGAGATACACTCGAAGTCATCACCACAATAGTTCATAAAATGAACGAAAATGGTGGATAAGGAGAGAAAAACAACTACTGTCGATCCTGGCTATATGCCACCAAAACATTGGATTACATCCTCCCGAAATCGGTGCAATAATTCGTATAGACGAATAAAATCGCAGGTTTTTCCTTCCTGAACGCCGAGCTGCGCCTTAGTGGTTCAGGAACGCGTGACTACCTGCAGACCGGTTTCGAGCTGTTGGCTCTCATCAGTGCAGGGCTTTCCCAGATAGCATTCTTGACCGCTATCAGGTGCGAACCTGGCCCAACGTGAACGTATCTTAGCATTTTTAGCATTTATACACCACGAGGCGTTATAAACAGGGTGGAAACTTCAACTGAAATAAATTCGCTAATGGGGAGTGAATGATGTTTCTGAAAATTCTCAAGATACATCAACATTTAAATGAAATTACCTACATTTGGCGAGCAATATGGAGATTTTAATCCTTCAAGGGGAACTAGTATCAATCCCAACATGTTTTTCGAATGCAACCCTATGGCTTGTGACCCCTCATTGGAAAGCTGCGGTTGAAAGAGGAATCCAGCGTACTGATCATATTTCAGTTTACAGTACGTTCGGGGTCGCATAAAATCAAAATATAATGTGGAAGTTCAATATATTTTCAACGTATTTTCATCGAAATTTCGACTTTCAGTGATATTGGGCATTTCCAACAGTTTGCAATAACTCTTCGTTTCGAACTGTTTTGATTCGGCAAAAAAACTAAATTTCTATTTGCGGCTCTATGAAAACCCTGGAATACAATAGCAGATAGCAGTTGTGGCAAAAAGTTGTCATCAATGTTCAACATACATTTTGAGCGATTGATACGTTGAAATAAAAATGAATTTTAAAATCATATTTCAATATTATAACACCTATGAAAAACTAAAATTTGAATAGTACGCTGGATTCCTCTTCCCACCAGCTTTCCAATGAGGGTTCAAAAGCCATCATAGGGTTACTGTTTACAAAATCATGTAATATGTGGTTGCAGCTACCCCTGGAGGGATATATTCTCGATATTGCTTGCAAAAGGTAGGTGAATACATTTGACGTATATCGGTAATCTTGAGAAAACATATTCACCTCCCCGCTGACGAAATTATTCAGTTAAAGTCTCCACACTGTATATATGTTACCGTGATTGACCGAAATAAATTATTGTTGACATACAACGGTTAATGTCGACACACACCAAATGTATTGGTGTAAGACCGAACAATTATTTGTTCCAATATAAATGCGGTCCTTCACCGGTAGATGTCGACAAACACATATAAGCTTTGGTCGATGTCAAAAACGACGGGTACTAACAGGTTTGTCGCCAGTCTTACACAAGGTTTGATTGATAGTGATATTATAATTTGTACTCGATGGCTACTGCAGTAAATAGCAAAGAAAAATTGCACCTTGAAGCAGCTTTTCACCCGTTATGAATTTGCAATTTGCAAAGAAAAGTTAATTTCCATGGATGAGATGAGATTTCAGCTCAAGAAATTTCGGTAAAAGAAGCAGCTTCTGCTTATTCAAAAAGCGGAGGGCAAGGCTATACACGTTGTAACTGCAAAAAGACGTGTTCCACGTCTAAATGTAGCTGTAAAAACAAGAGCCTTTGGTGTAATTAAAAGCGTCATGGGAGCTTAAGTTGTTGCAATAAATAAGGTCTCGATACATTTACTTTGTTTTTTACATTTTAGTTCAAGAAATAATTTTATTTTTATATTAATATTATGTTTGTTGTGCTTGTCTTGAATTCAACAACTTCTTTATGTTCATTTGAAACCTTCTTTCATGATTTGATCAAAATAAATAATAACCTATAAAGTTTTATTTTGTTTTCTTCTTATACAGAATTCTTTCGAACATACACCATGAGTATATGATGAATGTTGACATTCGCCGGTGGAAATAAATGAAAAAAATTGATGAAAAAAAACTGTTTTGAACAACTCCATATGTAATACCATTTCGGAATCTTTATTGAATTGGCAACATTTCTTGATAGTTGGTCGTCTTTGTGGGTTTCAAAATCTGCCAGCGGCATCTAAAAATCAACTGAATTATTGTATGCAGCGAATCTTAAGGAAACAACATTTCTCTTATTTGATACGAAGTAACAAAGGTCATAACAATTATTTCTTGGGGAAGATGCATTACTACGTATGAAATTTATAAAAGAAAAAAATCACAAATGTGAAAACAAACCACATGATTCTAGGGAGAAATGAAAAATATTGAATAACTTTTGAACCATGTATCAACAATTGGATAACCATACACATATATGGTTAGTTCGATTGGAAATGGCATTTCGTGCGCTCCAGAAGATTTAAAAAAACAATGTTGGTGCCGAAATGGATCCTTGTTGGACGCTGGAATTCTGAAATTGAAGATATTAATCAAGGGCAATTCGTCTCGTGGGTGTAGCCTCGCTCACAAACTCACTCACTTCTCTGGAACATCGTAGATAAGTTGGGGATCTGGCTCTATTTTATAGATATTTTCATGGACGATGCTCTTCTGAAAAATCAACAAATGTTCCTTCCTTGGCAGTCCCCTCGAGATTAACACGTCGAGTTGAGGCTTCGCACCCCTTCGTGGTCACTTTGGAGACCTGCAGAACATATCTTTCCAAAGACTGGTTCATTCAACGAACAGCGAGGCTCTGGAACACATTGCCAAGGGAGGTGTTCTCCGAGGCATATAACCTCCAGAAAATTTAAGAAGAACACCAATTCCTATCTTATTTCCCTTGGTTCTCACGATGTTCTCTGAACATTACAGGATATCCCTTTTCGTAGGAACCAGAACATTGAAAAAAAATGGAATATTTGGTCTGGAGTTACCTATTCCTGATTTCATTATGAGTTGTTTCTATTTGAAGTTGAGAATGTATGGTGAAGTGGTCTAGCGGACTAACCTATTCGATATCAAACTTTTCAATCAAGGCATAAGTAACAATTTCACTTTCAATATAGATAATACGAATAGAAACAAATTATCCATAATACCACAATGATTTTGATGGGATCGTGATATACGACCATGTATGTGTGGTGTGCGGTCAATTTGGATAGAATTACGAATTCAGAAAATGATTACATGCCGCATAATGACGCTAGGTATTGTTATTCCTTCCGATCGATGTTTGTTTTACAAATTACTGGTTATTGTTTTCCATTTTGGTCAGTACCTGGGTGGTATTCTTGACGTCATTGAAATTGTCAAATTCATACAATAACTAGATACCTGCCTACAGGATGTTTCGCGAGTAAACGGATGTATCCAATATGAAATATTCATGCTATAATGATCATTAGATTCTGAGGCACTTCATATCTGATATAACATTTTGATCAAGAGATGTATACAGTGTGATACAGTCTGTCTCACTTCCAGTGGCGTACCTACGGCGGGATACGGGGGGATATATTTCCCCCACCCTCCCATATGCCGATAGGAAGACACCACTCTTCTCCACGTAATACGTTTTCATCTCTTCAAAGAATTCAACAAATCAACGAGGATGATAGAGTGGCTTCACCATAGATGGAACTGATGGAAGTGGTTTTTCGTGACCGCAATCTATTTCTTTCAATGAACATTTGAAAAGTCAGGAACAGATCCCTGCAGAAAATATTAAAATTTTTACATAATTATTATCGAAGCCGAAATCAAAATGTGACACGAACATTTCAAGGCGCTTGGATTTTATTCTGTAATGCTCAAAATTATAATAGTTACTAATAATCAAAAATGCTATGAATGAGTCTTGAAAAAAAAAAAATATCCCCCCTAAGGTACACACACTTCTGGGTACGACACTGTTCACTTCTGATGGGAGAGACACACTGTGTGTATTCATCATGATGGTCCTCAGTCATTTTATCAAGAGTTTTCTGAAATTTTATGAAAATTGATCCGAGAATAACAGGTTATGAGACCCCAAATTCTACCAATTAATATCAATTCGTTGCGTAGATCGATAGTTTGATAACATTTTTCTTTTCTAGGAAATGATGGATTGGATGAGAAAAGTGGACAATGGTTTGGAGCTACATTGAGTTCGTCTGGACAAACTGATGGACCGATAGTGGTAAGTGTTGATTTGTTCAGATAAATTTCACCATCTCTTTAGGATATTATTACGTAGCAATCCCCACAAAAAAGAAGCAGAAAACCTGTTCAACCACTAAAATAGGACAATAGCTCTGTTATCAATTATTTCCAAAAATGTTTTAATTGAATTGAATTGACTCGGCTACGATAAGATTTCCACAAAATTCTCAAACACATGACACACAGTTGCTTCATCAGGTGATATACAATGAATAATTCATTGTATCAGTATTTTTTGTATGTTCTGTTTCCCACTAAAAGAGATATCCTGTAATGTTCAGAGATCATCGTGAGAACCAAGGGAAATGAGGTAGGAATTGGCGTTCTTCTTAAATTTCTGGAGGATATATACCTCAGGGAACAACTCCCTTGGCAATGTGTTCCAGAGCCTCGCTGTTCGCTGGATGAACGAGTCCTTCGAAAGAGATGTTCTGCAGGTCTCCAAAGTCACCACGAAGGGGTGCGAAGCCTCAACTCGACGGGTTAATTTCGCGGAGACTGCCAAGGGACGAACAATTGTTGATATTTCAGAAGAGCCATCGTCCATGAAAATATCTATGAAATAAAGCCAGATCGCCAACTTTTCTACGGTGTTCCAGAGAAGTGAGTGAGTTTGTGAGCGAGGCATCACCCACGAGACGAATTGCCCTTTTTTGGACAGAATCCAACAGTTTCAGGGTCACCATTCCCACGAAGTCCAACATTTCTTTGCTTCGTATTCCTATATCAGCATAATACTCTTTCATGTAGAAATCATATCGGATCCATCGCGAATGTTGCTTCCCAAGAACTCAGATCATTATACTGTTCGAAAAACATCACTCCTCGATAGCTTCTCATGATCTATACAGATCACAGATTGGGCTCGTTTCAGAATATTGTTCCGACATATTCAGCATCCAAGCAAAATATCTCCAAGAGTTCGAAAGAAATCTAATATCATCCTTCTCTACCTTCGTACGTACGATTCGTGCGCTCCAAATAAACCTACCAGAGATTATATCAAATATTCGTATCACAATTTTATTGAAAACTTAACTTAAGTTTAAGTTTAAGTATCTAGGATTTATTGTAGATAACACAATTTCATTGAATGATCATGCTGACTATGTAATAAGTAAAATATCAAAAAAACTGTATTTTTTCTCAAGAGTGTCATCTTCACTATCAATGTATGCCAAAATAACATGCTATAATTGCATAATAAAACCTCATTATGAATTCTGCGGTACTCTCTTATATCTTATTAATTAGAACAAATTAAACCAATTACAAAAATTGCAGAATCGTGGAATGCGAATAATACTACGCTGCAATAGAATGACACCTATACCACAGTTGAGAGAATATTATTCTCTCAACTGTGCCTATACAAGATATGCTTTGTATATTAAGATGGCTTACAGTTTCTCAACGACTTTACTATCTGACTATGATATTCATATTTAAAATAATAAATAAATTGCAACCAACATATTTAGAAAACCTTCTAATCACGAACAATGAAGTACATCATCATAATACCAGATCGAATACAAATTTCTACATCCCAAGGACAAATTCACGAAGCAGTATGAACTCATTATTTTTCAAGGGTTTGGATAATTTTAATAAACTGCCAAATAATATAAAAATTTCATCTTCCATCCGTTTATTCAAGAGGGAGTTGATAACATTCATAACAACAAATTGAATTGAAGCTAACTTATATTCAAAATATATTATTAACTATGACTTTGTTAGAATAAATAGATAAAATAGATTACTTCATAGAATTTATGTGATATAGTTCTCTGTCATTTATTGTTATTTTGTTGAAATAGACAAATATCTTGATTTTTATGTATTATGTATGTGTAAATAGAATATGTTAACCATGTTTATATTAGGCTTGCCTATTTGGAAATAAAGTTCTACTTCTTGTTCTTGTCCTAGATTTTGATCTGACTCAAAGATACTTGATTTCAAACAAAATATTCCGCCAATGCACATTGCTTGTTCAATAACATTCATTCCGCGAGGAAACAACTCATTAACTTCCTTTCGATTTGCTGAAAAAACAGAAGATTCCGCAAGACGCTAGATAGAAATGCAACATTGTCATTAGTCATAACTCGTTAAATCTGATACACCAATTTGATTGATATCGGTTATTAACTGTAAAATTCCGATGACATTTTCTCATGTAAACAAAAACCAGCACAAAGCGACACATAAATAAATTAATAATTTCCTAGGGCACTTACAGACATTCTGCAAATATGCCGAACTTGTATACATGCGACTTGTCAGCCTGTGTATTTTTATACTCTAGATCAGCGGTTCCCAAATGGTGTTCTACGGAACCCTAGGGTTTTGTTGAGAGGTCTCTGGAGTTCCGGGATTGAAAGGGAATTTTTGTAGAGATTGAGGAGAAAACATCCGCTGAAAATATCAGTTTTTTGAAAATACACGAAGATCTATACACTGCCAGGGTGCGATTTTACTAAATATACTGTACGCTAGCACAAACCACGCCCACCGTAATATCTCATCTTCGAAGTACTTAGGCAAAACTCAGAGACTATTTATCCTTAACGAACTAACCTATCCCTGATTGCAATATTTTTGAGGAAGGAAAACCGAATGGAGTGTAGAAACACATTGATTAATAATATATTTCAAAAGTTGAGTTCTTCGACAAAATTGAATAAAATGAGACTGTTTATCCTAAAAGCACTAACCTATTTCATGAAAAAGGAAAACCAGAATGAAGTGAAAAAACATTGGTGAAAAAAAAAGTTGCAAAAAAAAGTTCAAGTTCACAGCGATTCGAACCATGGACCTTCAGACTGAAAGTCGACAGCGCTAACCAGTAGACCATTTGGGTATATGAATTTATTGCGTACAAGAGATTGACAACGAGAGAGCTTCAGTCGAATTCGTGTCAAAATCATGAAAAGTGTATTCTTGCGTTGGAGTACAGTATATTTAGTGCGATGTGCTGACTCCGAGTATATCGGTAATGTTTGGAGATATGACGTATTATGGTGGGCGTGGTTTATTGTGCTAGCGTGCAGTATATTTAGGAAAATCGCTGCCAGGGTGACTGCTACACACAAAAATATTAAAATCGACAATGAAAAAGAATCATTCCTGCTAATATTGCAGAATTGTCTTTTATGCAATCATCATGTAATGATAGCTATCAATACATACACAATTTTTTTTGTGACGAGAAAAAAGGTTGACATTCCATCCCTGTCGACATGTCACTTTTCATAAATAACTTTCTTCTCATGGGAAAAAAAATTTAGTATTTTTTTTTCTAGATATTGATATTTATCATTCAGGACGTGGAAAGATATTCCGAATTGAGAAAACCTAATCACGAATCTGCGATTAATGGTCTATGAAACTAACAAGTTTCCATCGTTTAAGTTTGGACTTCTTGGTTACGAGGAAGTATTGAAATAGTATATTGTTTACCGAGCACGGAATGATAGTTATTTCCCACGAGAATGAAGTTTTGGGAAGAAATGTCTCCAGCCCCACCTATATTCCTCACTCTCCTGATCAAAATTTCGAAAAATCCTTATCATTCCCGAACTGGGCATGAAAAGTACTATACATGTAAAAAAAATTTCGTTATCTCATCGCAAAGGTTTTCGGAAATATTTACAAAGAACCTCCATCTTGGTCCCTCTTTCAGATATACACCCCAGGGAGCCATTTCTGGGCTTAAGTAGGTATATGTGAACTTTTTTTTACTATTTTTGTTCCTACAATCTGTGGTAGAAATTTTTTTATCTTGTTTCGGGACACCCTGTATATATACACTGTCGATGGCTTTTGTTGTGATAGTTCCGAAAAATAAGTCAATAACACCGTCTCCAAAAAACAACTGCAAATCCTTTCATCTTACATTACACTTCGCGAATACGTAAATTACTAACCACTAAGTTGGCAATTTTTGAAATCGAGTACAGAATTATACTGACAGATGATTGATTGATTCAAAAGAATGATAAAGATGCCTGATGCAACGCAGGTGTAATTCCTATTGAAAACTTCAAATTACACGTCGATAATTTTCTGATTTTAATATAATGTGATATCTTCTCAATATTGATTCGTCCTTTTTTCTGTCACAGAAAATATAGTGTATTATACACGAGAATAATATTAGATTTATGCTCACCTCGAGCTAATATCTACAACTTTTTTGCCTTGTGTAATGAATAACTACTTCTACGACCAATAAATAATAAAAACAAAAATTGATTTCTCACTATTTATTCTTCAACATAATCCAACATCATCAGTTCATAAACTACTTGTACTATAACGTAACAAATTAATAGTGAACGCCGGAAAAACGGTATTGTTACAGTTTTTCGAAAAAAAACAGAAAAATCATATCTCAATGAATGTTAATGTCAATAATACCACCATTGAACCCTCAGAAAGAAGCAAGTTTTCAGGAATACATTTGGATGAAGCACTATGCTGGAAATACCAAATCAATCATGTGTGCAAAAAATTATCAAGTGGGTATTTCGCATTATTTCAGTTAAAAAAACAACTCGACCAAACAACCCTGATCAACGTTTATTACGCTATCATAAATTCACACATCACGTATAATATTATCCTATGGGGAGGAGCCACTGAAATAAATAGAGTATTCGTATCGCAGAAGAGGGCCATTAGACTTATATTTAACTTGAAAAAAACAGACTCATGTAAACCATACTTCAAGAAACATTCATTATTGACTGTTCCGTGTATATATATTCATAGCTGTGTATGCTATATTAAACGAAATATAAAGTTTTTAACCAGGAATTGTGACAATCACCGATACCAAACAAGGCATGGTAACAAAATAATTATCCCAAAACATTCGACTAGCCTATATGAAAAGACCCCTTCTCTGGCTGGAACAAAATTATTCAATAATTTACCATCTGAGCTGAAAGATATTCAATCATACAA